ATTAATGTTGGAATTGATTTTTATTAATTGGATTTAATAGAGAATTGAGAAGGAAATTGGGAGGAAGGAAAAATAAAGGAAATATATAATAGAGAAAGAAAAGAAAAAGAAAGTTAGAGAGAAACATTTGGAAAGAAAGAAAAAGAGGAAAGAAGAAGAGAAAGAGAGGAGAAGAAGAGGAAAGTGGAAAATCATCAAGAACCAACATCAAAGCTCTAATTAATCGAGGTAAGGGTGAGAAATGTTTCTATTTGATCATTGCATGATGTTATGTATGTTGGGTTGGGGTTTTGGTGTAGTTTCCATCCTTTTCCAATTAGGGCAAAAGTTGGAATAATCGGTAGAACTGTGATTTAATCGGTTGGAATTGAGTAATACAGCCGTAGAATAGTCGGGTAACATGTAGTGATGTTGTTGAGCTGGTTTTGATGTTTGGGAGTTGGTGGATGGTGGTTTGAGAAGGAGAAGACAGAACAAAAATTCTGTTCTGCGCAGGTTCGCTGGCTCTCGCCAGGCGAAGCCCAGCGAATGCTGGCGAATAATTATGATTAAGTCCCAGTGGACTTTGCTGGCAAGTTCGCCAAGCGAAGGTTGGTTAGCGAAGGTTCGCCTAGTGAAGGTGCTGGTGAATGGTGGCGAACAAAGTCAGTAGCTACTGTCTTTAGCTAGCTGGGAAGTCTCGCCAGGCGAAGGCCTAGCGAGTGTTCGCTGAGAGGGTTCGCCAGGCGAAGGTCCAGCGAAGGTTCGCTGCGGGGCCTCGCCAGGCGAATATGGGCGAATTTGACAGCATCTTTTCTTTGTTGTGGTTTCTATATGTTGATGATTTAGTTGTTTCACATAGACTAATACCTCTACATTGTGAGTATGTAGGTGATCTATTGTGATGATATGTGTTGTGGGTAGCTTACGGGCGTGAATCCTAGAATTGTGATTTGAATGTTAATTGCATCAAGTATAAATACATATGAACATAATAAGTGATTATGTGTGTATTATTTAATGAACTTGTGAATGCTTGATGTGTATACAATTATGTGATGAGTATGCATGAGAACATTGCGAATATGTGTGCATAACTTGTAATTGTATGATTGGTATTGTGATGTGAATACCTTAATTGTTGTGATATATGTTGTATGTGCAATCATTGTGTAATTCTTGAAGAGATGAATTATTAAATGCATGAGATTAAGATGCGAGAACGGTCTTAAGTGCATTTGTTGTGATTGATTGTACATGCATCATTTAGTCAAGAGGCAATGTCTGTTAGTTTCGTGGAAACTAGTGGCTTGTCCCAAACCTAGAAGAGTGGGTTTGAAGGCTTAGAGGACGGGCCTTTGTTGTTATCGGTCTAGAAGAGTGGACCCAGTTTAATGTAAAAACCGAAAAATGATAACGAGAGTCGGTACCGCATTGCATGAGTTGCATTGAGTTGTTGAGTCACATTGATATATGACATATGCATGAAGAGATGCTTATGTGTGAATGATAAGATTGTGGAAATGTGAGTGTATGCACGATGTGGGAATGATTTGTGAATATTCATGTTGTCTATATATGTGTGGTAAATATATATGACTAAGAGGGTGAATTATGGTGAGAAATAATGGAGTTGAATTATATGATTACCTTTATATATGTAATTTTATGCTTTGATTATTATGGTAATATTTCTCACCCTTCTGCTGTTTTATAATGCTCTACGAGGCATTGCAGATTAGGATGCTGGAGTCCTTTTTGTGAAATTATCTTCATTCTTTTGAGTCGACTGCTATGATATGTAACACCGGGTAGTTAGACTAGTATAGTTATTCTTTTGTGATATATTGCGATGTATCAGCTGATGTGGCTTGGTAATTACCTGACATGATGTATTAATCTGGATACCTTCTGTGTACGTGATTTAATATTTTGGAAATGATTAAATGATTTTATCTTCCGCTTAAATTCAATGTTGAGATGTGATTTCAATAACTATGAAATGTTACATATTTTTATGGAGCAACTGTTAAAGTGTTTATTTGGTGAAATTGTGACATTCTTCCTTGATAAATTGATATATGCTTAATTGTTTTATATGCATTTATTTGGGGTATAGAAAGGGGTGTTACAATGTCCCCGTATACGATAGTAATTACACCAAGCCTCAGGTTGCCTTCCCATGATAACATTGGATCTTTTGGGACGATGAGGCTTCGGTAAGAGGTTCATATGGCTGACTTTTTTAAGGATATCTCCCCTACTTGCATTCAGTGGGGTGAGGTCTATGTTTGGCTCATATGATTGTCTATATGGTCTGGGAGCATGTCGCTCGCGCACAGCTATCCTAGGATGTTCCTTTCTTCTATTTGATGCCTCTTTCTTGCTCTTTGTCCTTTCATTGTTGTCCCAGGCTCTTTTCTCTTGGTTACTTTCTTCTCCTTTGATGTAACACTCAACTCGAGTAGTGATCTCGTCCATGCTGATAGTCGACTTCTGAACTAATGACTCATTGAACTGTTCGACTCGTAATCCATGTTGAAAAACTCCCACAAATAGTTCCTGGTTTGGATGAGATACTTTGAGGGTTTCCTCATTGAATCGAGCCAAGTAGTCACATAGTGATTCTGACTGTTTCTGTCGAACACTGAACAGTGCGGTCGTGGACACCTTCTGGCGCTTGCTTGCCGAGAAGTGTTGTACTAGCTTCTTAGTCAAGTCTTGGTAGCTTACGATGGATATCCGAGGAAGGATCATGTACCGTCTTAGAGCTACATCATTAAAGGTACCGACCATGATCTTGCACTTCAGTGAATCTGAATGGGAAATTATGACCATCTGGTTGTTATTAGCAATAACATGCTCCCGAGGATTCGTCTTTCCATCATAAGAGGTTAGTAAAGGTGCTTTAAAGTTTTATGGGACGTGATCGTCCCATATATCTTAAGAAAGAGATTGTGGCTCAAGAACCTCCTCCTCATGATCTCCGTCAGCCTGACTTTGTTGTTGCAGAACTTGTATGTTGTCTTACAGTGTCTCATTCTGCTGACGCATGACCTCCATCATGGCTAGAAGTTGAGCCATGTTTGAATGATTTCCTTCAGAGGACATGTTGTTAGTGTAAGGTGTGGCCTGAGAGAGTTTTACCTAGACCCCACGGTGGGTGCCAGATGTTCTAGCCAAAAATGGTTAGATACACCAAAAGTGTTAATTCCCCTTGTCTTGGACAAGAAGAACTACGATGTTTATATTGTGAGGGATATGTATTGTCTCAAGATGATTGTGTCTTGCTTAACCCTCATGTGGGAGCCCCTTTTATAGTCTTCCATTAAGATATGCCATTAAGAGGAGTCTTTTGGTCTTCTGACGTTACATGATCATCGTTGTTGTAACTCCCCTTCATGAATGTAGGTTTTGAAGCTCTGGTAATGTCCGCGTTGGTGTGCCGCCACCGTTACAACTGTTGGTATGCTGGTTGAGCTCATATCCAGCGTAAGTACCGGGTTGATGGAGGTCAGTACTCGGCCTCGTAGGAGTTCGGCTGATGGGAGTCAGGCTCCATGACCTGGTCGGGTTGTGGATGATACTTGCCTAACTCTAACTCTCATTGTTCGACCTTTCTTGCTATCGTAGTCTAATTCATGTTTAACCTTGTCTGACTATACAACTTGGCTTAAAATATATTCGGATATAATTATTTAGTGACGTGATATTCACATCGCAACCACCATTATTTGCCACATGAATATCACGTCACTAAATCACGTGGCAAATATCAAGATTTCTTGTAATGAATTTAAAGGAATAAATGTTTAAAGAAAATTTTTGGAAATGTTAAAAATAAAAATTGGTATATTTACAAAATTTAAATTAAATTACTCTACTTGCACTAAAAAAATTGGAAAACTGGAAGGAGTTTAACTAAAGCGTATAGTGAAGTTTCTTTAGTTAAAGCCTCCTCAATTAGACTAAAAAAATAAAAGTGTGTCATTCAGTCATAAAAAATAGAGTTGTGACAAATGACATATTTATGTGTGTGTTAAACACTAACACCTACATGCACGATTTTAACTTTTTATCCACATTTAACTTAGAATCAATTTTTAGCATAAAATTCCTCCATCAATTGTTCTTCTAATATATCTCATCATTCTCTTTGTTGATGCTAGATGAGATGTTCTTGTCCTCTGTATAAAAATATCAATTTTTCATTGACTTGAGTTCTTTTTAATAAACTCTCAATATTTCTACTAGAACCATTTAGATCCCTCCAAACAACTCAAACAAAATATTTGAGTTAGAGATGCCTAACCCTCTCAATTTAAGAGCTTCTACCATAAAATTTGATTTAGAGTTGAGAGTTTAGGGGTCTTGTAATGTGTTAGTTGGTTTTGTGTAGGTGTTTTGGGTAAGTGTGAGCTGACTTGGAGTGGCTGTGTTTGTGATAACTGTATCCAGAGTGGTGTTTGTAGTTGGTCCAGTCTTGAGATTTTGGTAGGCTTGTTGATCAGGTTATCAGCTCTGGTACTCTTCTGTTTTTTATCGGGATTTGTTGGGTGGTTTTAGCGGTGGAGGAAGTCGGTTTCAAGTGGGAGTATTTGAGATTTGGGTGGTTATTTCTTATGAATTGTTGTTGTATCGTATTAGAGTGTCCGTGCTTTACATGCATAGAGTTCAAAGTCACTGAACTCATTACTCTAATTTGGAATGTTATAGGAGTGTATATGTGGTTATTGTGGACACTTATTATACTCCTTCCAGATGTTATGGGAGTTGGAGTACTCCATAACTTTTTTCATGTGAACTTAGGTCTTCCTTATATAAAATAAAAAATAAAAATAAAAACACTACCCTGTGCGGTGAATAAAGAAGAGGCAAAAGACTAAAATTATATAGAAAAATTGAGATTTGAGTGGTTTGTGTAAATATTACATAATACACGCCATATCACAAGATCTGAATCCGGCCAACATTTTGGATATAAGCAAATTACCCATGGAAAATGTAAACAAATTACCCATTCAAATATCCAATTGAGTCTGAACCTCTACGATGGTTTTAGCAGAGTCCCTAAGCCTCTGTTCCTCCTCTTGATTCATGTGCACATTGGTTACACCAAGTACCCCACCTCTACCAAGCTGTGCTGGCAAGCTCAAAAACACTTCAACATCATCACCAATGCCATAAAAGCCCTTAGCCAAAACAGACACAGGGTGGATCTTTCTTTGATCCCTAATAATCGACCGAGCCAAACTAGCCACAGAGTATCCAATAGCCCATGACGTGTAGCCTTTTAAACTGATGACTTCATAAGCACTGTCAATTACTTTTTTATGTATCTTCTCCAGCGTTTCTTTCTCATAAGCAATTTGTTGTTTCTCCAAAAAACTCAGCACAGGAACACCCCCAATGGCAATACCTGACCATAATGCCACCGAACTATCACCATGCTCCCCTACTATGCATGCCTGCACCACCAATAACTCTTTGGTATTAGTAAACAAAGTATCTTAAAAAATAATTACCACCCATCTTTTCATTTCAAACAACTACTGAACTAAGAGTTAGTAAACGCTTGGATCATTTTCAAAATGGTAATTATGGTGACAACTGGTCCTATAATATACAAAAATGAAAACTAATCTTTCAACTTAAATATTGTCAATCAATTTAGTCATTTTGCCAAACATGTATCAAAAGCTTTGTTCATAACTTATATAGATCTTAAAAATGGATCATCTATGGTGAAATCTCAACTCTATCCATGAAATTAATTAAAAAAATTTTGAACGGTGAAGAATGGTGAAGGTTTCCACCGGACTCCCACCTGTGAAAATCTCATGGGAGAGAATCCGATCCATTGACTTCTATTCAGACTCATGCCGTTCTTTAATTTCATGAATTGGCAGGTTATATGTCCATAGCCATTAGTTATCTAAAACTCTAACAATAATTGAAGACATCTTTTGAAAGTAGAAGTTAATGGTTCTCTTATCCCATACACAAACCAAATTGGTGTATGCTCAATAAAAACAAGCAACAAGCAACCTAATTGGTGTCTACTCAATAAAAACATGGAATAAGCATTTGTTTTGAGGTTAGCAAGTGTTCTTGTTAAACTAGGGGATGGACCTTACTAGCTTTATGTTATGGTTAAGGTCCTACTAGTGTACAGGTATGTGAGTTATGCTAGCAGTATGCTATGATCAGAACTCTTGGTGTTTAGGGATATTTTTAAACGTCCTCACATTGAGCCTCTTATTTATAGTTGTGAGGGTGTTTGCTCAAACTCAGATAGGCCGCATAATGGCTGATGATCACGGATATTAATCGGTAACGCCTCCTCCTAGAATGATCCGGAGAGTGGAGGCGGTATCCGAGACCCTCCATGTGTTTGGACTCGGGTAATGAGTTGAGGAGCTCGGGACCATGTAATAGGCTCATTGGAAAGCGGCAGTTGCTTTTTACTCGCCCGATATCTTATACTCCAAAGGCAACATTTATTTTTTGTTTTCAAGCCATTGTTAAACATTACAATCCATGGTGTGTCTGACGAAGTAAGTAGTTATTTGATATATTGAACACAAAATTGTTTGATACCTAAAGGTTGAAAATAGTAGTTGAACTAACTCCAAATCATGTAACATATTAAAATAACACAAGCTTTCAACAAAACCAAGATCATGAATAATTAGAGAGAGAATGAAAATGACCTGAACATCCTGAGCGTTAACCTGGAGGTGATCAGCAATGAGAAAACGAAAGCGAGACGAATCCAAATTGGTACCCGACCCGATGACCCGGTTCGACGGAAACCCGGAAAGCTTCCACGCGATGTAGGTGAGAACGTCAACGGGGTTAGACACGATTATGAGAATCGTTTCCGGCGAGTAACTGGCCAGAAGGGGTATGATTCCCTTGAAAAGATCAAGGTTCCTCTGGAGAAGGTTAAGCCTAGACTCACCAGTGATCTGTCGTGCACCAGCGGTAACGATACATAAATCAGAGCCGGCGGTAACGGAGTATTCAACGGAGGAGTTGATCTTAACGCGGGGGAGGAAAGCAGCAGCGTGCTGAAGGTCGAGCATCTCGCCGCGGAGCTTGTCGGGTTTGTTATCGACAATGACGAGCTCGTCGGTGAGGTCTTGAGTGAGGATGGTCTGAGCGATGGCCATTCCGACATTTCCAGCGCCGATGACGGAGATCTTGTTGTGGCGTTTGGTGAGAGAGGGAGGGGATGCGTTGGAGATGGGTTTGAAGAAGACTTGGGTTAAGTCAAGGCCGTCTGGGCCTAATGAACCGGAACTGCTTTTGTGCATGATGATTTGTGGTGTGAATATGGTTAAAGAAAGAAGGGGAGACTGATGTTGAGAAAATGATTGAGGGTATTAATGTGTGATTTGAGAGAGGAAATATAGAAGAAAAATGCTGGTTTAGAAAATATAAAAACCGCCGGTTTTGCTTTTACCTTTTGAAATTTGGGTACGTACCGGTATAATTCTCTTTATAGAAATCCGGAATTTTTTTTCGGGAAGATGTTTTTATCGTTTTAAAACATTTTTTAGGAGATTATTCTTCTCACCAAGTTCCATTATGGTCGGCTCAGCCGACATTGAAGTCTAAGGTAGATTTTAAAATGAGATTTTTTTTCGTTAATAGTATTTTTTAATTAAAATTTTATTTATAAGTTTGTTAAGATGTAAAATTATATATTAAATTATTATAATTTATTTTTAATTGTCAATAAAATTAATTTATTTAATCTTTGTTGAGATATTGTTGATTTTGAATAAGATTTATGTTGATCTTAAATAAGATTTTATTAACTTTAATTTTAATGGAATATACGCATTTGAAAAATAATCGAGTCTCTTTATATAGTTAAGTGTATTATTTTTTATTTCTTTTAAAATTTGTAGTTCTATAAATAAATCTAATTCATCAATATTTGTTTTGTCATTATGTTTTAATGAATGTTCAAGGTTAATATAATTCTTTTTTAAATTTTAACATCTCAATACTAAATACAAAACCAAAAATATCATTATGTATTTTAAATTTTTAAATCTATTTTAAAACGAAGTGATTGTTTGATATATTATATATAAAAAATAATTAATTATAAATAACTCTTCAGGTGATTTTATAACTTCATTGTCAATAATCTCGTCAAATTATTTTTTTCTACTAATAATACGTTTTTCACGAAATTTTGATTCTATATTCATTTCAAAAACAATTTTTTTTTCCAGAAATCATAGCATTTTCAAATCCATTTTCCCTATATTTTTCTAAAAGTAAAATAAGACATTTCACTTGTTCTATAGAAATATCAATACACATATCTTTTGATTGTATATTTTTATTAATAGAGTTTATTGCAAATAATACATCATGTCATATAATCATGCATAACAAAAATTCAAAATTTTCAAGCTCATAAATTGCTAAACATTCAATTTTGCTTTTTATTTTAGGTTAATTGGTAATTTCATATAATTTCAATAAAGTATTTCTTGTCTATAAAGTTTGAAATCTCAAAATTTTCACACTTTAAATATGACTTTTCCAACGTGTTTGCGACAATAATTTAAATGTTAGACTAGGAATATGATCTTGTAAAATTTTCTATCTTTTAGTATAAGAAAAAAAATAGTGTGTATATACGTTGTAGCACTCCAAAAAAGATGTAGCTTTAGGACAACACTTAGTCATATCACAAGATAATAAATTTAAACTATAACAATCACATGGATTATAAAATGATCTAAGATTAATATCTAATTTTTTTTTTGTTGCATTCTTTGATGTTTTCCTTTCCTATTAGACATATTATCATAACCTTGTCATCTTAAGTTACTAATATTAAGTCCAATAATATTTATCTCGCTTACAATTGCATCAAAAAGATTTTTTCCAAATGTATCATTTACTTTTAAAAATTCTACAAAATATTCAAAAATTTGTATTGGACTAGAAGAAATATCAACACATCGTAAGATAAAAGTTATTTGCTCTTGATGACTTATATCAAGAGTGCAGTTAAGTATAATTGAAAAATACTTTGCATTTTTTATTTTTTGAATAATTTTTGTTTTAATTTCATTTGCCATCAAACTTATTAATTCATTTTGTATCTTATGTTCAAGGTAATGATTATGAACTTCTTTATCTTTAATTCGACGAATATGTTCTTGCATTATACAATCAAATTCAGCAATCATTTCAATAAGACTTAAGAAATTTCCATTATGTTCTTGGTAAATATTTTTAATTGTTCCGCGAAAAATTAAGTTATTTTTTTCAAGAGTTTTAACAACTGCAATTATTCTAAATAAAACATTTCTCCAATATTCTATATCTCTATTTATTTGTTCTTGAGCATGTATGTCAATTGTCTTATTTTTTTAAACAATCTTGTTTCTAGATTAACCCATGAACTCATATTATCGATGTGTTCATTAGTCATCCCATGACTCCTCAACTTAAAACTCAAAATTTTCCAATCCTTAGTGTCACAACTTGCTAATATCTTTGTATTATAAAGAGTATTAAACAATTTACAACAAAAACAAAATACTTTATCCAAATCTTGAGAATATATTAACCATCTTCTTTCACACTTTTCTTCGTTGAATTATTTTTTAATATAAAATGAGGAAGATAAATGTCTTGAGGACTTAGGAAAATTTATATTGACAACTTTAAGGGAACTCTTTTCTACTATTAAATCTCATAAATTTACACTAATATTTGTCCATTGACATGGATCACGTATATATTTTAGTCGTGTCTACACTATCAAGTTCTTCTATACATTATTATTTGTATTTTCATCTACATTATAAAGTTCTTCTACTAAATATATATTTTCATTTTCGTGCACATCTACGATATTAGCTTCTACATTGTTAGTAACCTGTTCATTCAATGAATAATTGCCTAAATTTTCAATTTTTTTTATTTTGATAAATTTATCTAAAGCCCCCTTTTGTGATTCAAATAAAGATTCAATTTTTTTCTTCAATTTTGAAGTTTCTAATTCAAATTTTCGAATTGACATTGTTCTATTCTAAAATAAAATAATAAATATTTTGCAGTACATACTAATATAAAATAAATAAAACTCACTAATAATAAAATTAAATCATACAAAATGATTAAAAATAATAATTAAATATTAATAATAAAATATTAAATAAATAAAACATGTTTTTTGAGATGCCTTTGTTGTTCTTCCTTTTATCCCTTTCTTTACAATTATTTATATCCCTTTCTTTACAATTATTTTTATAACAAGAGACAAAAATGTGTGAGAGAGACAAGAGGCAAAGCTAAAGTGATGAATAGATTAGAGAGAAAGAGAGAAAAAAACATAGACTTGAGAATTTTGTGGTTATAGAATTATGATTTGAGTTTGAGAGAGAGCATAGAATTGAAAAATGTTGCTATTTAGGTGTTAATTTAGGTGTGATTGTAAAAATAAAAAATTGCAACTAGTGTTAATTAATTGTGCCTCCTTAAATTATTGTAACAGTAATAATTATAAAAAATTGCAACTAGTGTTAATTAATTGTGCCTCCTTAAATTATTGTAAAAGTAATAATTATAATACCTATAGTTTACTTGTAAAAGAAATTAACGGTAACATATAGTCTATTATAAATTCTAATAGTCATAATGATAAGTGACAACTACTATTAATTCTAATAGTTATAATTTGTCATAATAGCCTATACCTTATTAAAGGAAATTTTTTTAGGCCTAGACAAAGAACTCACTTGCCTTGCCATAGGGCCGGGTCTAAGATCCGTCTTTAGGAAATTTGAAAACGTCTTTGCAATGCTATAGAAGTTAACTTTCATACGCTCTCATACTCACTAAAATATTTGATAAATAAGTCACCTTTATTTTGTCAAAATTTAATACAGATGTTAACCTCCGTATTAATGGAAGGATTGGTTCGTAGGTTAAGTTCTGGACTAATTTATATAACACGTTTTGAACTTATGATAGTGTATTTATTTCACAACTCAATAAATATTACAGAAGTTAACTTTTGTATTAACCCACAAGCCAATAAATTTCCTTTTTGAGTAATATCCTTGTTATAAAGTTGACATATTTTAATAAACCTTATATGATTCAATCAAACCATATATTGATCACAAAATATCATATATAATTCAATCAAATCACACACTTATGTAATTCAATCAAAATATCGTATATTAAGTTGAAATGTAAATTTGTGTAAAAAAAGTCGAAACGAAAACCATACATTGTTCACAAAATACAAACCAAAATAAAAATGATCAAAATCAAAGAAAAAATCAATTGTTATACATATGTGATTGCCTCATGTACTGCAAGGCAATTCGTGCATTGACTGTGATGGCCTATATAGTGGGTCTCCCAAGAGTGCCTTCTATAAATTACATTTCTCTATACACGTTCGTCAAATAGCCACAATACGTTGACATGTAGGTAACACATCAAAGACGTAATTTGCCCTACACTACGACAAAAATGATTTTTGGCAGCGCAGAAAAGACATCGCTTTTTATAAAAGCGCTGCTAAAAAGTCAGGAAAAAAAAAGAAAAAAAAAGCTGACTTTAGACAACGCTTTTAGAAAATCGCTGCTAAAGGTGGCATTTTTGGCTTACAATAGAAAGCGCTTTATAAAAAGCGCTGCTAAATGGGGCCCTATGAAAGCGCTGCTATAGGAGTAACCTACGAGAGCGGTTTGAGAAAGCGCTGCTAAAGAGGTAACCTACGAAAGTGCTTTCTAAAAGCGATGCTAAAGGTGGCAGTAAAAGAAAGCGCTTTTAGAAAAGTGCTGTTAAATGGGGTACAAAAGAAAGCGGTTTTATAAAAGCGCTGCTATAGGTCATGCCTAAGGCAGACCTTAGAGAGCACTTTTATAAAGCGCTGCTAAAGGTCCATGCAAAAGCGCTGCTATATGTATAAGTATCATAAATTTAATAAAACTCAAAAAATTTCAGAAACAGAACAGTCGTGGTTTAAACCTTCGTTCCCACTCGTGATAAACCATACTCCCTCCGTCGACCACTTTCGTCTGTTGTCTTCGTCCGACCGCCTCCATCCGTTGTCTTCATTCGACCACCTCTGTCCGTCGTCGTCCGTCCGTTTGTCGTGTTCTTCATTTTCGCCATTGTCCTTTGTTCGTCCGTCGTGTTCTTCGTCCTCCACCTCCTCCGTCCGACCATTCCACCATTTTAAAGGTATTTAAGTTTTTTTAAAATGTTGTTGATGGAAATAAATGATGTTGATGTTGTTGTTGTTAGTGTTGATGTT